TCGGCTTCATCGAAAAAAATTAAAAATAAAGTGGTCTTATAATTTTGGTCACCACTGTATTTAACCCCATTTGAATATTGATGGAAGGTCGTCATTTGTACCATTTTGATTTGTCTCAAGATATTTCTTTGATACTGAATAACGAAGAAAAACATCACGAATTTTATCTACAACTTGACGACATTCAGCAATTGTTAAACATGAACTAAAATGTTGTTGTACTACTTCTGTTTCTTTTATAACTTCTTCCCAACCAGGTTCATTAGGTACTTCCCATTCATGATTGTTTATTATAATTCGTTGCATTGCAGGTCTTGCTAAAATTGTTTCCAATATGAGTAATAAGCAAAGAAAAATTATATTCATATCAAATTTCATGATAGCCATGATAATTAAGTAATGATTTTGATTTGTTTGAGTGATCTACTTACAATAATAATTAATCAATATATAAAAGTCTAGTATAATTATAGTTTTCGTTCAGTAATAAACTGTGACCTTTGAGAAATATTCTTATGTATATATACATTTTGTCATTGATATTCTTTAGTCAACAAACACCTACGTTGGTTTTTCGTTTTTTGCTTGAATCAGACACTCAATATGATGTCATTTGCGTAAATCAATGTATAAAGAAATGTCAATTGAATTATTTAAACAATATTTGCATTGCCTATTATATTGAGATGACGGTTAAAAACATAGAATGAAACATTGGAGACTGATTAATTTTGATTGATTTAGGGGGTTGAAAAAAAATGATACAGTTACCAAAAAAAGGGAAATACGACGCCTTACAATAAGATCGGCGAAAAATAAAAACGAGTTACTTAATTTTTTGCTTTCATCTTCCGCATTTCACATTTCAATCAATTCTTGCATCACAATTCCTCCCCTCTCCCCATATGTTCTACAGCTAAGTCAATATTTGTCAATTTTAATGTAGTTTTTCGCAACTACAACATTTATATGAAGAGACTAGAAGCATAGTAGTAAATCAATATCCTTTTTTTTTCTGTTGTTTTTCGTCATGGCTTTCAACAATGATACTATTGATTCTTTGTAATGTTAACTCAAAAAACGAAAGCTTTGTTTGACATAAATACATAGAACAAAACATACTTAATATAAACGAAAATATCTTTTAAAATGTGAAAAGAATAGTTTGTTGTAGGAAAAAGACACTAAGATGATAATACCAAGCACCTTATTTAAATAAGTAAAATTAGAGAGCGTCCTAAAAGTTTTCCATAAAAAAATCTATTAAATAGAGTATTAATCAAAAATATAAGCCCAACGTATTTTTGATTTTTTTTGTGTCTACGATGCCAAGTATTTAACTCAAATCCAAAAAATGTTTTGAATAGTTAATGAAGTTCTCTATCGAAAGTTCCTCGATAAACTATAAGAAGAAGGTTTGTGAAAAAAATCAAGTACGGTAGTTTTTAAATCAGAGCAGACTGTTTTGAAAATTAGGAGGTATGTTCAGACTTTCGAAATTTCTATCAGCTCGATAACTACATAGCAATATGCACATCAAAAGTTTTTGGAAATTTTGGAAATTACTGAACAATTTAGAGCAACAGCAAAAATCCGCAATGTATCGAAAAATTGCGTTTTGTTTTGGTTTTGTTTGTGCTGCTTGTAACTTTTCAAGGGAAAGTCGTAGAAAATGTTGCTATCTTTTATTTTGTTCAGAATTTTATGTTCACTTTAAGATGGTACTATTAACAACTAATTCTCAAGAATTTGAAAACTATCGCGCTTGGTTTTTTACAAACTTTTTTCTTATTTTTGATAGAGAATTTTATTGACTATTCAAATCATTATTAGAAACATATGTATTGTTAATATTCGTTTTTTTACTTTATATTTATTAATAAATCATTTAAATGAAAATTGACTTTATCGATAAAAAAATGAATTCATATGATTGTCAATATTTTCTCTAATACTGGTATCAAAATTTGACAATTTCAACTCGATCTTGTATGGCTTGATCGAAAGGTGGTTATTCATCATTCGATATGCTGTTATTCATAGAATGAAACAGACTGTTGTGTTTCATAACTTTCTCGATTTTTCTATTATATTAATTTCAAAAGAAAAAGAATTGTGTAATGCAGTCTATATCTAGAGTTTATATGTCAAATTCGATTTGCAGTTTTTGTTTCACAATGATAAATGACTTAATTTTGGCTATTAATAAAACTATTTATATTCTAATCAGAGATCGAATCGAATTAGATTTTGTTGGTTTAAGTTCGATTCAAGTAGTCCTACTTGTCCTAATCAAAAGTAGACAAAAGGTTAAAATTTCATTCTTGGACGATAAGAGTATCACATTAGTATTGATATATTATTGTGAATTAAAATAAAGTTTTGAATATTAATGCGTTAGTATTACTAGTTTGTTTTTAGTGTTGGCATATAATCCTACACAGTTACCGAATGATTATTCATTGCATTACAAGAGTAATGAAGCAATTTAAAAGAGCAAAAAAAAAATATAAAAGCCTTATAGCATATAGAAGTGATTCATGACTATAAACACAATTTGTGTAAGTGCCATGAAGTAAAATGAAAAGGTCGTGCCATATGAAAATTAAATTAAAGCTTATTTTATCTTCATCGATCACATTAAATTTTTACAAAAATCGTTTATAATTCAATCAATTATTTTTCATTTATGACATGATTGTATTCGACTATGTTTTTGAAATTTAGTTCGAATTCGATTTGATTGTTTTTTCAGTTTCTGATTTTAATGTCTTTTGAATATAGAAATTTATTAGAAAATATATATAATAAAATTTTTAAGAAATGTACTATCATCATATTGAAAATATTATAATATAAATCATTTAAATTGATTAAAAGTTGTTCACGTTTGATTTTTCACGACGAACTTTTCGAACACACGATCAAAATTTGTACCTCTGAAAGGAACTACCCCCCCCCCCGCATAAGAAGACCCCGGGTCTTCTATTATGTCTCCTCGTAAAAATTTGTCAGGGGGGTCTTCTATTATGTCCTAGGCTTTTTAGCAATTATTAACTAAATGTGGTTTTCCAGAAAGCCAGAGCGATTTTCAAGATTCTCATAGGGATTTTCACGGTTTTGAGGGTGGAGGGATACATTTGGACCCACTTTCTAAATATTCCCAGCTGAAAAACCAAAAAACTGTGCACTTCTGGACGAAAATTCTCTAATTAAAGTTCCTAATTAGCAAAAAATTAATTAATTAAAGGGGGGTCTTCTAATACGCCCGATGAAATTTTTGTCCAGGGGGGTCTTCTATTATGGGGGGGGTCTTCTAATGCGGGGAGGGGTTTACTCAAACTGTAATTTACCGTTTAAATTCATATTGAGCACACACAAGAACGTCTCGATAAGACTAGAAAAAAGATTAAAATGTTCGTTCTCATAGATATTTAGAGTCGAGCTATGATCGTTCTACTGAATTTTCCACTCACATTTAGATCCATCTGGAAAAAACTAAATAACGGAATTTCAAACTGAAATTCCGCTTGTGGGTAGGTCTAATGATCTTTAGAATTTCCTGAAAGTTTCAGTCACAAAGAATGTTTCTTTGTCGAAATACTGAATTTCCAAAAAATTGAGTTTACTTGAAAATTCAATATCTCGAAAAAAATAGAATATTCTGTTCGGTTGAATCTTTCAAGATATACTAAAGATCATTGAAGCCTATCTATGAGCAAAACTCCATAATTTATTTTTCCAGTGAACATCTAAAATTGGTCGAAAATCCAGTAAAACGATCATAACTTAGCTCCAGAGTAGAGTTCGTCGGATCCAAAATTTTTGGACCCGAACCCGAATTGTGCTCTTGATACTTAACGAATTTTTTTTAATTCACACCTGATAACCCCGAGGAACATATCCTTAACGATTCTGAAGCAATCTCGATCATGATCTTATAAATATCAACTTACAATCGGCTCTTTTTTTTTCAGAATAGCATCCATGAAATCCGATCCGGACACGAACCATTTTATACTTTTTCCAGTCTTACCGAGTTCTCCTTGTGAGTTCAATATAAACTCTTATAGAAGATTACAATTGAGATAGTTTCCTTATTAAAAATTTGATTAACAAACTTAAATATCTTTTGATGATTATATTTATTTTATATCAATTTCATATTCAATTCTTATGTGTTTTATTGTTTAAAGTATTGCATATTTAGAAAATAAAAATTAACAGATTATAAAAAAAGAAAATATTAGATATTGACTATGTATGTGTGTATAACTTTTTTTTTTTTTTTTTAATCTAAATTTCTCTAATTTCATATCAATCGAATACTATTTGCCAATAAAAAATATTAAATCATATGAAAATTTATTATTTTGTTTTGTTTTATTTTGTTTGTCTACTCTCTAAAACAATAATTTATAAAAGTTGATCACATTGTAATGTTCTTTTTTCTTGACTACTTTGAAAACCAAGTTCAATAATTCGTATAACATTATAACCATCTTCAGGTCGAATTTCTAATTCTTTTCCATTAATAATAGCATCATATAATTGTTTATAAAAAAGTCCATAATTACCAGATAATGTTTGATATTTTTCTTTTATTATTCGACCATCATTTGTTTCTGTATGAAGAAGTCCATTATCTTCAATTGGTTCTTTACCCCAAGAATTTTCTTCTATTTTATTATCTATTATTGGTGGCATAACACCAGTTCGAAGTACATTTTCTTGAATATCATCACCATATTTAATAAATGAACCTTTTGAACCATGTAAAACATATCGTGGACCCATTTCTCGAATAAGCATACTAGATTTAAGTGTAACACGTAAATGACCATAATCAAGACGAACATCAAAATAATCATTAACATATGCAACAGGTCGTTGTATACGAATATCAGCTGTAATTGTTTGTGGATGTCCAAATAAACTTAATGTTTGATCAATTAAATGTGAACCTAAATCATAAAAAATACCAGCACCTAGTTCATTTCGTTCACGCCATGCATTATCACCTTTTAATTCTGGTCGATAACGATCAAAATGTATTTCACAATCAAGTATTTCATTACCTAATAATTTTTTATTAATAATTTCTTTTATTGTACGATAACCTGAATCATATCGACGATTTTGATATGGACAAATAATAAGTTTTTTATTTTTAGCAATTTGAATTAATTCTAAAGCTTCAGAACTTTTTATTGTCATTGGTTTTTCAATAACAACATGTTTTCCTTTTTCTAATGCTTGTTTACTTAATGAATAATGTAAATCATTTGATGTTGTTATTATAACAAGATCAATTTCAGGATCATCAAATAATTCTGTTGTTGAACGAACAGTTTTTATATATGGATAAATTTTAATAGCTTCATTTGTATGACGTTCAACTATACTACGAAGTTCATACATATTAGACATTGTATGTAAAAATGGAGCATGAAATACTCGACCAGATAGACCAAAACCAACAATACCAACACGTATCTTACGTGAAGAAGACATTATATTTATCTATCTAGAAAAATTGAATAATAAAAGTTTAGTATATTCTTTCTCATCAATTTAATATTTGAAAATTACAAATTTTATTCACTAAATATCTCGTATTACGAGTAAAGTATAATACTCTTAAAACTAAACAAAGCGAGAGTCAAATATAAGTACAAAATTATAATTCTGAATACGAGATAGATAATTTCATAATATTAATAATGAAACAAAAAAAAATGATATGATAGATATCTATAGAACAATATGTTTTATTCATAATTTGACAACAACTTATGCTACTGCTATCTCATTCCATAATGTTTATTTTCAATGCATATATGTCTTCGAGTACGAATGGTGACGTAAAGTTACCTCTTTTGTTTTTATTCTATACTTAGTAAAGTTCTGATAGTTGATAAGATACAAGAAAAAATTTGTTCCAGAAGATTGTTCGTCGAATTCAATTTGTAGCTCTACTCTTTATCTTGTTGGATGATATGATTATTGATTACGTTTTTTTTTTTCGATAAAAAATATTCAATCACAAAGAAAGAGATAATTCTAATTTATACAAAATATTTCATAACAAACAGAACACTTTGAAATTGAAGAAATATTGAGAATACAATTGATTATATTTTATTTTTGAGGATATAACCGGTGGTTCGAAAATTTCCGCACAAAATGTTTCTTCATTTTTCAACCGACTAAGTATGTCAGTAGAAACTTTTAAACAAAGGGTTAGATTCAGAATTTTATGCTCCGAATTTTCGTAGGACTTATAGTTTAGGAGTTATGAGCGCACCTTTGGAATGCTCAAAAATAAAGTTTGGACGGAAGCAGTTGAATCAACAGATCCAAAGAACCAAAATATGATCGTATGTCTTTTGGAATTGATTTTCTGCTCTTTTTCACCAACCTTTCTCGACACTATCTTATTTCCATCGTAAAGACGTTCAATTTAGCTTAGCCGAAGTTTCTTTTCCTTGATTACATCGCGTTTTGAAATTTTTTAGATCAGCATCTTGACAACATACGTCCTTCTCAACAATAATATCCCTTATTGAATTTCTTCTATTATCAATTTTTTACACAGCATCAAGGGCGAGTCCGTTCTTTACAAAGTGAGCTAAGAACTGAGCATCTCGCAGCATTTTTTCAGAAATAATCAAGCTCTTTTTGACAGTCTGGAAACCAGAGAAGCCTCATTGTAAGTTAATGACCAGGCTATCATTTTGTAGAGAAATGTTTATTCTTTCTTTGGGGGTATCTGAAATAAATTATACGTTTACTTTAGACGTTTTTTTGTGCATTGAAACCTGTCCAAACTTTATTTTTAAGCCTTCCAAAGATTCGCTTATAATTCTTAAACTATGAGTCCTACAAAAATTCGGAGCATAAATTCTGAATCTAACCCATTGTTCGAAAGTTTCTACTGACATACTTAATCAGTCGAAAAATGAAGAAATATTTTGTGCGAAAACTTTCGGACCATCCGTTACTTTTATTTCTGTAGACCTAGATCAATAAAGAAAAAACTATTTTTTTTTTTTGCAATGATAAAATATAAGTCAAGATAAATTTCGTCTGTTCTTATTAACATAGTTTTATCTAATATAATATCTCGAAATAGTATTTTATTATCTTTTATTTATTTCATATGGATTATTTATTCAAAAAGAAAAAATAGATTTTTTATCATATTGTGTGAAATGTCCTTTACGTACACTATTTTATCTGTAATAAGTAATTTTCAAATTTGTATTTGTCTTAAATGATGTATTCTAATTATATTTTGTTTAAATTTCAATTTCAAAAACTAAAAAAAAAAACAATTGCAATAAATAATACTTAATATTTTATCAGAAGAATAGAAAATATAATATCATTCAAATTTCCAATACGTGTTTCTTAATTGTAAATCAATAAAAGAAAAAAACAGATGAAGTAGTTATACTACATAATATATCTCTATTCAATACAAATGTAAGTCCAAAATAATTAAAATATAAACATATCTCTCCTTTATTTTTCTTTATGTTACTGAAAAAACAAATAGATTCTTTCTATATGTTGTCCTTTATATTCTATAAGAACCCAAATATTTCTACATGATTATAGTCAAAACTTGATCAATATCAAATCACAATAACTAAATAGTATTTTGAGAAAACAAAAAAAAAAAACAGATATAATCGTATGTATTCTCACTTTCTTTTTTTTTTTTGTTTTTGTTGTTTCACATTTTTACCAAACAGAAAAAAAAAGTAGAAAGAATCCATTTTTGCTAACATAAAAGAGAAAAGTAGACAACCACACAGACACACGTAAAGATCAGAAAAAAAAACAACTTCTCTTGACCGGAAATGATTCCTTTCTAAAATGGAGAGAGAGAAAGAGAGAAAGAGTACAAGAACAAGAAAAAAAAACAATAATAATAATAATAGTAATAATAATAATAATAATAATAATAATAATAATAATAATCATGATAAGAGTAACAACATGTTGACAGTTACAACAACAACAACAATAAATAGAATTATATAGATAAAAATTCTCTTCGTTCTTTTTTTTTTAATTGTATTTTGTATTTTTTTTTTTCTTTTTTTTGGCTTATTAGCAATGTATTCTAATTATTTTTCTTATTACTATGACTACCAGCAGATATAACAGATTGTTCAACACTTTCATCATTGTCTGATTTACCATTCGCTAAACTTTGTTGTTTTTGTTTGAGTTTATTAGGAACTCTTGGTGAAGTCGCAGTTGCTGTTGGACGTGTACTACGTTGTTCACGTCGACGACGCATATGAAACTAAATTAAAAAAAAAAGACAAAAAATTTACATAGAATCTAATTCCCAGATTTCTACTATTCTCCTGCGGTTTTCAATCAGAAGCAGCGTCATTCCGGCGGGAACCTACCGAAAATTCACAGATCTAGGCGCCGAAATTCTTTAACTGAGAGTAGAAACTTGGAAGCAGGAATTCAGAAACGGCGTCATTAATGTGGGAATCTGCTGGAAATTCACGGATCGGGACATCGAAGTCGTTAACCTGACGAGGGAGGTACCCGAAATGATTCACCGCTTTAGAGCCCATACTTTGGGCACATCGAGGGAACATGTAGACTAGAACAATCCTAGAAGAATTTGGACCCATGACCCTTTTGAGCAGTGATATTGAATTTTCAAGTTTTAGTAGGTAAGAGGGATTCTGATCCTCTATTATGATAATTTCGAACACAAAAATGTTCTGTTAGCTAGAAATTTCATCTCATTTCTGTAAGCCATAGGCGTTCTCTTGAAAATCTTAAAGCGAACAAAACAAAATTTTATAGATATCACTTTTTAAAGAATTATAACATTATACTCAAAGACAGTAGACTTTTAATTGTGGTAGTAATAAGCTTCAAAAAAATGTTCAAAGCAGATTAGCTGGCGACAATGACTGCATTGAATACAGCATAATATGCGACAGTTCTACTGTTGACAAACATCAACATCAATATTGAAGCAAACTTCATTGACAGATTGAAAATCTTTATGTTATATTGTTTCGTTCACATAGGTTAATAGCGATATCGTCAAGGAAAATTCAATATCTCTGCTCAAAAGAGCCATGGGTCCAAATCCTTTTAGAATTATTCTAGTCTAGATATCCGCTCGATGTGTCCAAAATATGGGCTCTAAAAAGCGGTGAATCAGAGGAAACTATTTTATGCTTGATATGCAAATAGTAAAACTTTTATTAGTGAGTATTGGTTTTTTTTTTCGGTCCTAATGGTGTTAACAATAGTGAGAGATTTTACTGTATTTTTTCTGTCTCTCAATGATTGAAAAATTCTTTTATTTTACTTGAATAAAATTCCAAACAAGCCAAAATTGTAAAACACCGGTAGCAACAAGTGTAAATAAACGAACAGTTGGTGTATTAAAATTTGATATAATAATTGATTCATTTAATGTACCATTATTTTCATTTAAATTTGTAATTGGTGTTGTTGTAAATGTTATTTTATTAATTGATGAAGTTTTTAAACCAAACCAAAATGTTAACCATGCTAAAACAACAGATGCAAGACGTCCAATAACAAATATAATATTCCATATTTTAAATAAATATATTGATATTGATTTAGCTGTTGTTGAACCTGTTTTAGTTGTTGCATAAAAATGTGCAAGACGTGATGCATGATAAAATATTTCAATAAAATAATGTAATGTTAATAAAACAAGTGATATACGCCAAAAACGTGTTAAATAAGCATAAAGTATTGTTATTAAATATAAACTTGTATAAACAATACGAGCTGGTATATCTTCTTTTCGAACTTTTTGTAAATATAATTCAGGATAATTATGTAACCAATATGAAATTTGAATAATAAAATAAAGTTTTGTCCATGTTGTCATACCTGTATATGGATAATCACGCCAAAGATATTCTAAACCTGAACGTAAATAACCTTCATCATTAAATAACATAAATCCCCATAATACACTAATTACATAAAATAGAATAAGTTGACCAGATTCAAAAAATTTTGCATTTTTAGATTTTGATAAATGTAATTTTTTATATAATTTATCCAAAACATATTCTTGCCATATAGCATGTGCTGTTATACAAATAAGAGTATAAGAAAAAAGCATAGCTAAATCTTTATAACCATAATTAAAAAGTGGTGCTGGTGAAGAATTAAATGAATCAAAATTTGTTACATTATGACGAGGACCAAAAAATGCCGTACAATATGATGATGTTGCATGAATTAATGTACCTAATGCTATTATCATTAATATACCACAAGCAATATCACCTAAATAATATAGAATAGAAAAATTATTTTGAATATAATAGATGACATATACAAATAGTCTATTAATTAGAGATGTGTGTACGAATAAAATTCGTTTGAACTGAAACTAAGAATTATAGTTTTCAGTGAATCTATCTTATCAATTCGACTCTTAGCTTATTGCTGAGAAGATAGTATTTTTTTAAAATGTATGCAGTAGTTTCTCCTTAGGAAAAAATTGATTTTCGAATTTTGATTTGGAAACTTTGTACAGATAAGTTTCAAGTCGAATATCAAAAATCAATTTTTCTGAGTGGGACTACCACATTCATTTAAGGGTACCCCCCCCCCTCCTCTTTTTTGACACTTTCTGGTTCTCGAAGACGGTACAACCGATCAAGCTC